TTTAAACTCGTGCCATTTTTTTCATCCAAATACAAAAATTTTTATATTTTTACATGCTTGGACATACTACTTATCTCTTATAATATCCGAGTTATAGGCATTTAAAAATTTAGTGATACAAAATTTACCATACCTTGGTCCGCCTTTTTTTGAATATCAGGCGTAATTTTGGGCCAAATGGACTCAATTTCCAATAATATAAAAAAATTTCAGATCAATATCATTTACAGATCCAAAAATATACGTTTTTTAATTTAAAAATTAAAAAAATTTTAGATTTTTGACGTTTTTTTGCCAAAAATGTGTCTTAACTCTTTTATTAATAAAATAAAATTTTCTTTAAGAACATATAACAATTTTATAGTTTTCTAAAAGGTATCTTTACGCAGAACGCTTTGGCGTAAAAAACTTGTCCTATTTTTTGAAAATGTTGCCACTGCGTCCTTCCGAATATGACCTATTTTTTTATCAAAACTTCAAATTTGGGCGACATGTTCTAAAATCCCAAAGCTGGGATCAGAAAACTGAAAGCAGTTTTGGAAACCTCAATATGTTTTCTATTTACTCTAAAAGTATTTTCCCAGCCCTGAAAGAAATGTGGACCCTATGGGCAAAAAAGTAAAAAATCCCATCTTTGGGATTTTCATTCCTATTTTTGGGAATTGCGGGATGCCCTTTTACCTTTTCAATTTTTTTCTTTTTTCATTTTCTAAAACTATGATTTATATCAAAATTTTAATTTTTAAAGACTATATCATTGTATATACAACAAAAAAATTATAATTTTATTATTTTATTTAATATAATATCATCAGTTAGTATAATAGCTTTTTTTATTTGAACTGTTTATCTTAAACATAATACAATTAATTCTTATAACCTACTTATATAGTTAATTCCTAACACTACTTATTTTCTATAAAATAATCTGTCATATCGGTATACATATCCAGAAGGTAATATAAGTCCTTTAAATCTTCCTTGTTTTGAGATGGTAGAGTTTCATAACAAATCCATCTGGAGCATTTTCTTGAGCTGAATAGTTGAACATGCTTAAAATCTCGATTCCTCGCTTCCTGGGCTTCTTCTGTTAACTCTCCAAGTGGAAGAATATTCGATTCAATTATTATTTGACCATGACACAATACTTTGTGTACTGTTGGTGTTAGTTCCCTCCATGGATACAGAGATACAAGTAATTTAGAAATTTCAGATGTATATTCCCCAAATCGATTTCCATTAATTTTATGTTTACTATTCAGTACCATTAAAATAGTGTTAACTCTTCGAAGCAACTCCTTGTCGATTCCAGTTATTTTTGAAGTAATTTCAAAATCACGAAAAAACCTTCTCGCCGTATTACCGTCATTTGTACTACCGCAACTTGGAAGTGGTTTGTCGATGTTTAATCCCATCTGAACTTTAAATTCTTCTTGGATTCTGCTTTTTTCCGCAGCTCTCAGTTCTTTCAATTCTTCATTATTTTTTGTTGATTTAGTAAGATTCTCTGGCACACTTCTATATTTGAGGTCGTATGCTATGTGTAAAAAGTAATCCAAAAATCGTATTCTGGCATGAAGTGGTGAAATTCCGAAAGACAGGACTTCTTCATTAATACTTCTGCTTTTGTTTATATTTGAGAATTGCGACTTTTTCTCATTACATATTGAGCATCTCCAGAAGGAAGAAGTTTCTGTTATGGCATTGCTGACCTTTCCATCAATCATTGTTAAGCTTAGCTGATATGATACGTTAATAGAGAATTCCTTTATTTTTATGCAAATGGGCTCCAGTGCATTTATTTCATCTTTTAAATATTCCACTAAATTTTTTGTTGTTTTCTTTGACTCCTTTATATATTCAAATCCAATGGGTCTACAAAAATTTTTTGAACCCGGAGTTGTATTGATCCATATATCTTCAAATGAATTTCCGATGCTTGACGATGATGGATTAAGGGAATATGAACGAATTCGTAATGGCACTAATGATGACATAAATACACTTTTGTAGTCTGCTAATGTCCGACTTCCACAAGCTTGTTTGTATTCTGGAAGTGCTGATAAACCGTCACATCCCCACTTACACATTAAGACAACATCACAGTTATGAATTTTCCTTAGTTGGTCTTCTGAAAAGTCTGACACAATTCTTGATGCTGTGTTTTCGAGCAAAGATGATATATCAATACAAGCTTCCACATCATTAACAGCAATAGGTTATGGTAGGATAGTTTGTTTTTTTTCCTGGATCGCCTTGTATGATGATAATATATTGTGTCCTTTTTCATGCAGAGCTTTCCTTAATATTTGGTACTTATTTCGACTAAAACCCAGTTCCAACATAAGCGCTATTGCTTCCTTTTCAGTAAAATTTGATTGTGATGTTGGAGTTGGTATACTTTCCACAATTCGCTTAAGTCGTTTTGGTGATGCATTAGGAAGAATAGTTGCAATATGTACGGCATCCATATGTTGGTTTTCCTTTTTCAGCATTTCGTTAAATGTATCAATAATTTCCTCATTTGAGATTGAAAAAAGTTTTTGTGTGACCCTCTTTTTTTTTTTGACCTTGAACATAAGTCTTCGTATGACTTGCAAGGCGCTCCTGTTGATGTGTTGTAAGTTGAGATTTCCGTAGTAGTTTCCATCCAACTACAAAATTTTAATCGAAATTTCTTTTGATTTCCATCCACAGACTTACTTTTTAATCAAAAAGTTTTCAATTTTTGATATGCCTGTTTTGTCTACTTTTCTACTATATGTAGTTTTTATATAATTTGAAATGTCTTCAATTCTTTCTGGCCCTTTTGAAGATACACTCCATAAAACGGAACACAACTCTTCGTACTTTAATGTAATCTTCATTGTAGATTTATTAAATATGGTACTTAAAATCTTAGAAGTTTACTTATATACCAATTCTTGTCATTTCCGATAGAGGTATACCAAAGTAAAAAATTACGAATTGTCTACCTATTAACATTTAGGACTATATTACTATAACCTGTAATTCAGTCATTGATATTTCTTATTAGTGAAAGAAACGAAATTATCATTACCTGTATATTTTTACCTATATGATCATAAACGAAACAGAACGATAATTAATAGGTAAATATAAGATTTAAATATGTTCTGTCATATTTAATACTAAAATATGAAAAATATGAAATTAAAGGATACAGGTTTAAATGAACATATTTTTGAATGTAATTGAGATATTGGCTTGAAAATTTTTGTAAAGAATCGAGAATTTCCATATCTAACAAAAAAAGATATTAAGGGATAAATATGGACTAAATTGTTGTAGCTATCTGCTACCCTATTAAAATTTTGATATAAATCATAGTTTTAGAAATTAAACAAATATATAATATATGACAAAATCATTATTTATGAACAAAACTCAATGAAATTTTAAACACTTGTTAAATTTGTCATTTCAAATAAGAAAATGCAAAAAAAAAATTGAAAAGGTCAAAGGGCATCCCGCAATTCCCAAAAATAGGAATGAAAATCCCAAAAATGGGATTTTTACTTTTTTGCCCATAGGGTCCACATTTCTTTCAGGGCTGGGAAAATACTTTTAGAGTAAATAGAAAACATATTGAGGTTTCCAAAACTGCTTTCAGTTTTCTGATCCCAGCTTTGGGATTTTAGAACATGTCGCCCAAAGTTGAAGTTTTGATAAAAAATAGGTCATATTCGAAAGGACGCAGTGGCAAGATTTTCAAAAAATAGGACAAGTTTTTTACGCCAAAGCGTTCTGCGTAAAGATAGCTTTTAGAAAACTATAAAATTGTTATATGTTCTTAATAAAAATTTTATTTTATTAATAAAAGAGTTAAGACACATTTTTGGCAAAAAACGTCAAAAATCTAAAATTTTTTGAATTTTTAAATTAAAAAGCGTATATTTTTGGATCTGTATTTGTATATTATTGGAAATTTTGTTGTCTAACTAACAAAAAAAAATTGAGTCCATTTGGTCCAAAATTATGTCCGGTATTCAAAAAGAGGCGGACCAAGGTATGGTAAATTTTGTATCACTAAATTTTTAAATGCCTATAACTCGGATATTATAAAAGATAAGTAGTATGTCCAAGCATGTTTTTTCAAGATCTCGTCGAGCGCTTTCAGAAAATATAATCTTTGTATTTGGATGAAAAACAAAAAAATTGCACGAGTTTAAAAATTTTACATGTCGTAGGTACCCTACTTTGTGCCGCCACAGCGCCGTCCCTGGGGCATCTGCGGGGTTCATCTTCAAAACTTAAACTCAAATACTCCTTGGCTACGCTCACGCCAAATTTTATACCAATCGGATCAGCCGTTTAGAAATGCCAGATTTATTTCCAAAAAATTTCCATTCTGCCCCACTGTGCATTGTGTCATTCAATGTCCAGGGAATAGTGGAACTCTATATTTTAACTACAAGAAGACCTTTTCTATTGTCCTTTTGGCTGTTTGCGATGCAGAGTACAATTTTATATATGTTAATGTAGGTGCATATGGATCAAAATCAGATGGTACTATTTTCACTGTAAAAACTCTTCATATGAAATAAATGTTGTTTTTTAACAATAGGCGGAATTCTAAAACGTAGTGAATTTGGTCAAGACTTGCTAAATAAACGGGTTACTTTGCCCAACGATGAAGAACTTCCAAATAGCATAATCAAATTTCCTTTTTATTTTGTTGGAGATGAAGCTTTCTCATTAAAACGTCATTTGATGCGACCGTATGGTGGTAGAGATCTTTCAGCTGACAAGCGCTACTTTAACAAGCGCCTATCTTCATCCAGGAGAATGATAGAAATAGCTTTGGAATTTTGGCTAGTAAATTTCGTATTTATCACACCGTTATAAATGCAATACCAGAAACAGCATCATCTATTGTCCGTAGTATTGTTGTTCTTCATAATTTCATAATGCAGACTAAACCCACTTCCACTATATCTTGTGAAATTTGAAATACTGATAATATAGAGATGGGCAATTGGGAAAATATTTCGCAAAGTCAAGGATCGCATAATTCAAGTCATGAAGTTCAATATTTAAGAGATAATCTCAAAGATTACTTGTTTCCCCGGACATTTAAATTAATAAAGAACTTGTTTTAAAGAATGTTTTCTAATTATGATATGTCGATTGTAGAAGGTGTTTATAATATATGTACATAGATTTCGAAAAAGAAATTTGAGTAATATGGACTAAAAGAAAATAATCTAAACTCAAAAATGAATATTTGCAAACTGTTTAATAATTGTATCTAAATTTTGTTGCCACTTTCATAAGTTCTTTTTCACAAGCATCAGCTTCTTCTTTATTTAATTTAACGAGAGTTTCGACAATAAACTCCACTACAGCTGAATTATATTTTTGGAATATAGGCACCATAGATTCCGACGATTCCAAACAAGACAATAATTTATTACTTTCATTTTCAAAAATTTCCTCAACAGTTTTCGATTTTTTGTTTCTAAAGTGCGTCGATGAACATTGTGGTGATGGACTTGGTATAAAATAGTTTTTAGCTTTTTCACCTTACAAAAAGTAAAGAAACATCAGTAAGTAAAAGTTTTATACCACAAGCTGTTTCGTAACTTACCGCTTGTAGAAAATTTCTTTATAATATCGTCCCATATTAACTTCCGGTTAATAATATCTTTATATGTATAGGAACTAATATTCCATAGTTCTTCGTGTCCTTGGACGACTTCAATAAATTTAAACGTTTCTGTTTCGTTCATTATCAAAATGTAGTAATTTTTTTATAATTTATAAAATTTTCGTTTTTTATTGACATATAAAATTAAATGTCAAATTGACTATTTATTAAATTCGAAATAAGAAAACGCCATCTAGTTTTCAATTTTCCAATTATCTTCGAACAAAAATGTTGCTGAAGTTGAAGTACGTTCAACTTTTTAAAAAAGTAAAGTTAAATTTTTGTAGAAAAAACGAAAGGCAAATATATGAAATTTCTAATGCGAGAAAAAGATAGAACAACATCTGAAATTGTTGCTTACATTGTGAATGTTGCTTCAAACATACGAAACGAAATAATCAAAAAAACAAAAACAAAATACACAACGCAATGAATAAGAAGTGTTGTTGTTGCTTATTTTTTATGAAATTTTCAGAGGTTGTCTCGGATTTTTGCTTATATCTCCGTTATTTATGGACGGATTATGCTGATTTTAAATATAGAAACAGACAGACAGACGGACATGGCATAATCGACTCCGCTATCTATAAGGATTCAGTATATATATACTTTATAGGGTCAGAAAATTATATTTTCGAAATTACAAACGGAATGACAAACTTATACATATGTACCCTTCTCACGAAAGTGAAGGGTATAAAGAAAAAAATTGCAAAAACTATAGTGTTTTATTAACAATGAAAATTCATGTAAATTTTAAATGAAAAATATTCTTTGCTTTACATTGTCGAATGCAAAATAAAATATGCTCATTCATTTGAGTAAAGTTTACGAAGATATTTCTGTATTCTTTTCTCAATTTTGTGTATGAAAATAAAAAACAATACATACAAGAATAAATAAAGCAAAACCGGTTTTGTCTTTACGTACATGAGTAGATGATAACACAACAAAAATTATTTTTTTCATTTACATGAACGTGAGTGATAAATGAAAGAATATTTGGTACTCTGCTAAAAACAGTTAAGTTTACGAGCTCATAACGCAAAACTCACTTTTTCGACTTAGAATGTTATAGAATGGAGGCGTCGATATTTAAAATAAAATGAAACTTCAATTCGAAAAAATTCAAATAAAAAACTTATATTTTAATTTATAGAATTGAATTTTGGTTATGTTTTTATTTTTTGCTGTGTTTAAATAAAAACAAGTAAGAGTTCTATATTCGGCTGTACCGAATCTTATATACTTAGTAACTACAATTATTACAAAAATCGGAAAGTTCCCTTTTATAGACTTTCATTCAATTAGTCAAAGTTTCTTACTTAATCCGAGCCCACGTTTCTAGGTCAAATATCATAGAAAAATCAAAAAGTACCTTTTGTAGAACTAAAAAGTTCCCTTTTATGTGTTCTCACTTAATCCGGGATCAACATGCTTAATTTCATGTTTCTAGGTACAACATTTTAGAAAATTCAAAAAGTACTTTTTATAGTACAAAAAAGACGTCTTTTATGAGTTATCACCTAAAACGGTTCAATATTATAGAAAAGTTAAGAAGTACCTTTTGTAGAACGAAAAAGTAAAAAAAATCCCTTTTTATATATTCTCACCTAATCAAGGCCCTACATGCTAAATTTCATGGTTGTAGCCAATAAAAACACACTGCTATTTTCATAATTCTTGTTCTGGCTTTGCTTTTTTTATAAAAGTAATACAATATCAAAATTTACCGTATGGTTATGTGTGTTGTTATTCTTTGTTTACATTTTCTGCCTCAGCATGCACGAAAATTTTTGATGTAATTTTCAGAGGTTATCTCCGTTATTTATAGACCGATTTTGCTGATTTTGAATAGCGAACTTCTAGAAAGCAGAAATTATTGAAGATTCGGATCTCACCGATATCTGGTGTCCTCTAAAAATTGATTTCAACAAACATACAGACAGACGGACAAAGCTTAATAAACTCCGCTACTTATAAGGATGCAGAATATATACACTTTATGGGGTCGGAAAATTATATAATAGAAATTACAGACGGAATGACAAACTTATATATACCCTTCTCATGAAGGTGAAGGGTATAATAAAACTCTGATAAAACGAAAAAAATCCAATCGTTTTGAAATTTTTCAAACAATTTATAAAAATCATACGACTTTCAATTTTCCATCAGTATTTTCAGTAAGTTTTATTACACTTTGTATCTACACTACAATATTTTTGATTTTATTTGAAAATTTTGACATGTCGTTTTACTGAATATTATGGTGTGTAGTCAGCTTAATTGTTTAAATGAAATTCAAGTTCAAAATCAAAAAATGTTTTAATTTAGTTTCTAATGAATTCAAACTGGCTTCCAGTATACGGTGATCAATTCCGGCCAAGAATGATTTCTTTCAATTATTTAATTCTGATAAATTTTTGATGGTAGATTATAGCTAACACTTCAAATCATACAATTTAAATATTTTGATTATTGCTTAACCTAGTGACTGTTTATACATACATATGCAAAGTTGATAATATTTTGCCTGTCGTTTTAAGGTTTTTAAATTAGATTTTAGACATAAATGAAGGCTATGATTTTTCCTTAAAGTTTTTCTTAATAAATTAGCAAGTGTTTTAAAGTAGTCTTAGTAAGTAATCATTCCATGTGGTTATTGCGATTTTGTGCGGTTTAATTTTTTGGATAAATTAAATGATTGTGGCCTACTTTAAAAACTAAAAAAAGCTAAACAAATCCAAATTTTGAAAGACCGTAGAAAAGGAAAAGGGGCTATAAGAGGTTGGTTGAACATTGTATCTACTACTTTTATATATCAGGAGTAAGTATTAAAAATTTCATCTGCAACTTCCTGCAACTCTAGTAACTAGAGCATTTTTAATGACTTCGTCTATTACAAATGCTGAACTTTTCCATACTACTAAATAAAATTTGACAGAAGGAGTTTACCGCCTATAAAACTTGTTTATGTTGACATTTATGTTTTTGCTGATATTTATCACTCAGTTAAATCCTTTTTCTTAAGGACCCTTATATAGGGGATGGACCAATTGTCATAAACTTTGATACACATATTTATGCTCATATAAAACATGTTTGTGTCGAATTCCATTGCTAGACAGACATTTTAAAGCCAAGTGTTAAAGTAATTATCTGAAGGAGATCTTATATGGTAGGTAGGGCCAATTATGGACCGATTGCCAGAAAATTTGGTCGAGAGGTTTAGGTTCCTATAAAAATATTTTGTGTCAAATTTTATTGCTTTACTGGTATTTTTAACCCAATTTCATGGAAATTGCTTTATATTTAACGTATTTATGAGTATTTAAAGAGTTTTCTGGGGGGTCACTTGTATAGGGGCTAGGTGAAATCTACAACCGATATTGCCCTTAGTCAGTACCAAATATACCTTACCTATAAGAAACATTTGTGGAAAATTTCAACTATTTATTTAAAGAAATAAAAGATAATGTATACAACAGTTCACATAACCTGATAGGTCACAATAACTGTTAATATAGATATTTGAGAGAGATAACCGGTATGTTGCCCGTAGTATATTATATGTTATAGAGGGTTAATATTTTTTAATTAGAATTATTAATTTTTTGCTAAATAGACGTATTTTGATTGGTGATTTTTTAATTCTTTTTAGCAGTTTTTATACACTTCACCTTCGTGAGAAGGGTATATATAAGTTTGTCATTCCGTTTGTAATTTCCAAAATATTGTTTTTTGACCCTACAAAGTATATTTATATATTCTGAATCCTTATAGAAATTGGAGTCGATTAAGCCATGGCCGTCTGTCTGTCTGTTGAAATCAGTTTTCTGAAGACCCTAGATATCTCCGGGATCCAAATCTTCAATAATTCTATCAGACATGCTTTCGAGAAGTTTCCTATTTAAAATCAGCAAAACCCGCCCATAAACAACGGAGATATAAGCAAAAACACGAGATAACCTCTGAAAATTTCATAAAAAAGACAATTGTTCAATTCACAATCAAGTTGTATATTGTACCTACTAAAGTGTAGTAACAGTGATTGTGAACAGATCTTTGCAGAAAGTCATAAGTTTATGTTCTCAATGGAAAAAAAAAATAATCAAAACAAATATACATAACAATGTGAAAGTATAAAAAAATCAAAAAATATTAAATTAATTAAACTTGCGAAATAAACCAAATTAATTTCTTTGAATTTTCAATTCTTTTATTTTTTTATTCCACATTTTAAACTAATAAATAAACTATTTTTAATAAAATTTTAGTTTCTTTTTGTTTTGGTAAACAGCTGTTTGTTTTTGATTTCAGTGTTACCACTTTATCGTTTTTTATGCTAAAATCGTTTGAATTTTTTGTTTATATTTATATTTATAAACAACTAGCTAAAACCCGGCGTGCTTTGCTACTCCTGTCGATATAAAATAAAAAATTTTCAAAATATATTCATATACATTTTTTGTTTATAAAAATTTTATTAATATTTGTTTGTCACTATCCAAAACCATAAAGTAATAACCCAATAAACATCGATTCAAACCTGTGAATATTTTTGAAAATTTTCTTAACTAAATAATGTATTTTCCAAATTGTTTTCAAATTTTAAAGTTTAGCCTTTGAAATAAACATGATAATTTCAAAAAAACGCTTAAAAAATATAATGTGTGATACATATTTATAAAATTTTCAAAGTTTTGTTTTAATTGAACTTAGAAAAGTTTCTTTCAAAAAATAAATTATTTTAGAAAAATAAAAACAGAACATTTTTTCTACAGCAAGGGAGCGAAAAAACGTTAAATATAGGAGAAATAATCGGAGATATAAAAGAAAAATATGCTAAAATAAATGTATGAATGTTTTATTTTCAGGTGATGTAAAAAAATATATGAATTTTGCAATAGTTAGCATTATAATTAGGGTTTGAAATATGTATGAAAATAATAATAAAGAATACTTGAAATACGTTTGAAAATTTTTTTAGTTTCAAGCTTACCTCTAGCCTTTTTTTAAATTTGAAATACATTTGAAAAATACGTTTGATTTCTAACTGCCTTTTTGTTTGAGAAGGCCATAATATTCCATTTGAAAACAAAA